GGGCCACCGGAGCAGCTTACGAACGGGGCTTTCTCGCCCCGGAGCTCGCAGGTAGCAATCCGCTACCTCGACCTCTGGGGTGAGAAAGCCCCGTTCGTAAGTGCGGATCCGACATAAGTCGGATCCGCGTAAGTCGGGGACTGCCTGTAGTAGATTTAATCTGGGGGTTAACACAAGTAGGTGTGAAATAGGGGAGTTTTCAAGTAGGATTTGAATGACGTGAGTCTGGTACCACTGAACACTGGAATGGAAGTTCCTGGTACAAAGTTGAGAATGGGAGAAGGATATGAAGATAGAAGTGAGATGGAATCCTTGAGTGGAGTAAAGCAGAGGTGTAATAAAAGTGAGCGCAAAGATGTTGGGAGTAATGTAATATGCAGTGCACTGAAAGTGAGCGATAGAAGCTACAAGTTAATACAGAAGGTGACGGATTCCAGTGGAGGGGTATGAAAGGTTGGGTGTTGTTCTGAGTAGTGAGCAATATCTCCTTCTAAATCAAAAGGAAGAATTGCAAGTCTCTTGAGAACCCACATCTGGTTATTCTCTCATCTCAAAACTGGGGTTCTAAAGGTTGGGTCCCAAGATGTGCTATGCACATCTAGAGCACCCTTAATTCCCACTGACTTCAGGATGCTCAGAAGACCTTCAGCTTCAGGTTGGCTAGCTTATCTACTATACGGACACATCAGGTTTCTTACCTAGAAGGTCTGTCCAGGCCTTTGTCGGAAGGGTGATATAAGGAGGTCTATGAAAACAAATAAATCAATCTATTAATATTTTGCACTAGAAAAAGTGTCACATTTTCTATTGATATTGTCTGGGACTATTCATTAAATTAGTGACCCTATCATGAGCCCCATAACAATAATAATAAATGTCCTGTGCACTATAGACTTCATGTTTGATAGTATTTCATAACAGAATTTATGCTGTTTTTTAAAAAGCTCCATAATATTTTTATCACACTCTCAATTATATCTTTCAATTTAAAATATCACAAAACAAGAATCCAGGACTTTCTAGCCTTTTTCAAAATTTGCTACACTGTGGTCAAAATGGATTTAAAAGTAGAAATACACAAAATCTAAAATATTCATTTGCATATAAGACCCCCAGAATTTCCTATAATAATTACTCACCAAAATATTGATGTCAATTAAAGTTGGAAATTCTTTGTAAATGTAGCTGAAAGGGACATAATTTTGGGGGCCACTTGCTGCCCATCCTAAATTTATTTTAAGAACCATTCTCCCCAGAGAGTCCTAATGCTTTTTCATTATTTAAGTGTAGCTATTGCATGATGCCTGAAAGATGGAATGCAGTGTTCCTCTGAAATATTTTTTACTTGTCTACATAAATTCAATTCTAAATTACAGCTACTTTTAAACCACTCACTTAATAGGTTTCAAGGCTGCAGGCAGAATTAGTTATGTAGCACTAGTTTGTGGTAGCTAGAAAAGAAGTCATCTTGTCCCCATGACACCTCTTTATGGGCACAAAACCAGGTCAATGAAATGTTAAACATTTCATGCTGTATCCTTTCAAAGATGACCTAGTGAACTAAAAATAGAATTGTCATATAGCATTCTATGCTACAGGATCTATTTTTCTCTCTATAGGAAAGTATTGGGTATGCTACAATCATATAGAAAAATTATGGGAGTCTTAAATGCTTTGCCATTGCAAATGTTTTAAAAAATCAAAGTTCTTAAAAATGTAGTCCAACTAAGTTTTGATAACTGACACGTAAAAACACCTCTAGAGGTCGCTCTTTGTTTAAGAAACATTTAGAAAAAGATTTTGCATTACCAAGGACATTCAGCACAGCATGCACAGTCTATAATCAAAGGTATCTATAATACCCGAGATTCTTCAGAGATAATAGTCTTAAATTAGTTTTCAATACACTTCATTCTTTAAAGATTCATATCACATATTGAACAATTCCACCAAAATGCATATTAACGTAAGCTATTGGATTACTCACTAAAGTTTATCACATTTTAAAAGTAGAGAAAACCACACAAATATGGATAAACCATAAACATAATATTGCCTAAAACTTGGACCAAACTGATCCCAAAAATTTTTCCAGACATTTTAAACAGCTTGGTTAAAATGATTTAGAACTTTCTAGATTTAGGTGGGAATGAAAGTTGAGATGAAAGTCATTGAAAGGAAAAGCAAGAATAATTTCAGAGGAAAGCACTTCAGGTTATCTCTGGATGAGGATCAAAACTTGGGCATGTTTATCTGAAATGAACTTTTATTTTTAGTGATTTAGATTCATAATAATTATTATTAATAATATATATTCTATATATCTATATTTACTACTGTAGTGTCCTGAGTCCCCACTTAGGATCAAGGTCTTATTGTGCTAGGTGCTGTACAAACACATTAAAACATAAGTCCCTGTTTCCACAGAACTTACAAAGTGAAGACAAACATGAAGAGAGAGGATATCATCTACTATACACATTTTTATTGTATTTGAAAAAAGTTTTGATTACTACAAATACATAACCTATCTTCATCTTGCCCCATCAACTATTATTGCTTTTGCTCTTATATGCATTATGGAAAAACTGGATCCAGCAGATCCTTTCTTATTTACACTGTATAATATAAAGACCATATCCTGCTATCAGTTTTTGTGTACAGCCCTTGGTCAACTGATTTCAACTGGAAATTCCACAAGTGGATCAGTGACAGGATATATCTGTTAACATTATAACTGTAAGCAAGTCTAGGTTTTATTGGAAAATACCATAGCCTTGTGGAAAGCATATTTGATATGGATATAGGAGAGTTAGATTATAGGCCCAGCTCTGCCACTCAACTGTGGTCTGATATTGGGCAAGTCACTTCTCTGCAAACAAAAAACAGACCTATGTAGCACTTTAAAGACTAACAAGATGGTTTATTAAGTGATGAGCTTTCGTGGGCCAGATCTACTTCCTCAGATCAAATAGTGGAAGAAAATTGGCATGACCATATATACCAAAGGATACAATCAAAAAAATGAACACATATGAAAAGGACAAATCAAATTTCAGAAGGGGAATGATGGGGCGGTGGGGGAGGTAAATGTCTGTGAGCTAATGATATTAGAGGTGATAATTGGGGAAGCTATTTTTGTAACGGGTAAGGTAATTAATATCTTTGTTCAGACCTAGGTGCAAAGTGTCAAATTTCAGTTCAGAGGATTCTCTTTCAAGTCTGGTGTTAAAATGTCTTTGAAGCAGGATGCAGGTAATCAAGTCATTGAGACAATGCCCTTTCTGGTTGAAATGGCAAGAAACTGTTTTTTGTTTGTCATCCTGTCTAATATCTGTTTTGTGGGCATTGATTCTTTGGCAAAGTGTCTGAGACGTTTGTCCTTTTCATATGTGTTCATTTTTTTGATTGTATCCTTTGGTATATATGGTCATGCCAATTTTCTTCCACTATTTGATCCACAAAAGCTCATCACCTAATAAACCATCTTGTTAGTCTTTAAAGTGCTACATAGCCCTGTTTTTTGTTTCAGCTACACCAGACTAACACGGCTACATTTCTATCACTATTCTCTGCAAAGTATGTTTATAAAGTATCGGATATGTTCTGATGAAAAATGTTACAGAAGAGTAAGCTACTGTTATTTTTAGTCACTGCTTGATCTTAATATGCTTATCAGCTCTCGAAGTGAGCAGGTTGAAAATTTTTCATCAAACTTTTTTTTTTAAATGAAAACTGGCTTTTTAAAGGGAAAAAGTTGTTTCCTTCACAATTTTTTGATTTTTTTTAAACATTCACAACTGAATTTTTTAGCAAAAACAAAAAAGGTTTTGGTTTTCACAGAAAACTTCTAAAAATTGGCAGAAAATTTAGAATTTTTTAAAAAAATATCCATTTAATTGACTAGTTTTCAAAATATATTAATTAGCTGTTCAATTTTGTTCTCTTGCAATTCATTCTGAAATGAAATAGGCTGTAGGACTAAGTTATGTGACTTGTGGGAATGCTGCATGAAAACTGTTCCATTTCTAAATTTTCACTATTTCTGTGTTCATACCATCTAATCTTACCATCCATTCACAGGCAAAAAATAGTGCCAGACTAAGAACACAAGTTTTCTACAGGCCATATAGTCCTACAGCAGGGGGTACCCTTGGAGACTTCTCAGAGTCTCTTTGTTAAAATTATGTCACCCCACCAAAGGCAGAGCTAGGGCAATTTCACTACAGCTAATAGAGCTCATCCCTCGGGGTACTATTATAGCATCTCACCAAAGATAACTTCTCCACAGGGGTCAAGCAGTGTCTGAAGAGCAAATTGTATGCTGTTGACATGCAACAGACTTCACCTAATGGCAGGTAATTGAATTCATTTTAAATTTAAGAGGGGAAAAAAGGAATTTATTCCTGTCTCCATCATCCTTCCTCACTGCAGTACGTGCACCAATGGAAAACACGGGCAAATGTTTTTTATTAATCCCATGGTAAAATAGTGGTGGCATACCACTGTACTCCTGTGCCATGCAAGGAAGAGAGCTGTAAATTAAAACAAAACTGGATGCCTACGTACTTGTGCTACACAAAAGGGCTTGTTGGCATGGTGTTACGCCCAATACAACCCCAAAACATATGCAACACAAGAGCTATGATAGAGGACATCAAAAAGCGCTAAGATACCGTAAGAAGTATGTGACCGTAAAAGTAATATGCATGATACCACTGATATTTGGAGTAAGTTATTACAGGAGCTAGGCTTTGCACATTAACATTGCCTCATCCATTGCTCCTGCCAGCTTTGGTTATAAGGTGCTGGGCTGAAACATATATATTCATGAAATAATGGATACTGTGGACCAATGTTCCCAGCGGTATACCTCTATCCACATGGTATGACTGCTTTAGTAATGGCCCTTGCAGTGGAAGATTGTGCCACTATTGTTGGCCACGTACCTGACATTTTCTAACGTCAGGAGCTTACACATCAGTGAAAATAGTTTGCTACAAACTATGTCCTTTTCCCATGGAGCTTTTTATGTACCTATTGTACACACTTTCCCATGAGGGGAGAGCTTTCAGCTCTTACAATATAGCCCTTTTGACATTCCAACATAAATAATGTTTTAAATTAACCTTTTTTGGTTTCTTACAGACACGTGTTTTTATGCTAAGAATGGAAAGACATTTCTTCCAGGTTTCAATGTTCCAGCAAAAAAATGGGTCTCTAAATCTTGTCATATGGCATGGTAATGTGCTCATTCATTTACTTACACTGTTGCCTGCTGCTAGCAGAATATTGTAAGGCATTTTGAAAGAAATAATTAGTGAATTGGATTAAAAATGAAAAACAGAAATACATGAATTCAGACCAAAGCTTCTGAAGCCAGATGAATAAATCAATTTATCTGTAGATTAGAGTGAATCTTACAGTGAGAATCTAGTTCTAATAATCCAGATTATACAGGAAACAAAGCATCACAATGCAATCTCTCCATATGCTACTGAATTTTCGATCCAAATATGTGACAGAGTTAATACTTTAATGTTTTCATAGATATTAAATCTGTCTATAGAATTCAGAACATTGTCCTTTTTTCATTTTCCAAAAATTTGGAATTAATTTAGAGCTGATGAAGGATACCATGGCATGTTAAAAAAATCGTAGGTCAAACTTTTAAAAAACTGTATCAATCTTGAAGGCTTTTTTATTTGTTCCCTGGTTTTTGAACTACAGTATTACGAGTCATGCTGTCAAGCTTTTTTCCTGCAACCATGAAGGCGAGAAACTTACTTTTTTGTACAAAAATGGAGTCTGAGATTCTTATAAACTATCTGACTCCAGAAGCTGGGCTTCTAAGAATAATGCCAAATATGGCAATGCATGAAATACACTTTTAAAAATTGGCCAAATACTGAGGCGGTTATACTGACAGTATAGAAAACAAAGCTCTCCATTTAATTGCACAAGACAGTGGACCAAAGACCTCAACTTTGTATGTTTTCCATATCGTCAAGCCTGTTTTGGAAGGACCACATTTATATGATGTTAAGGCAACATTGCTCCCCCACTCAGTTTTGGTCGAAGTCTGACAGCATCCGGCTGTCTAATCTATATTGCACCAATCAGTCATACCATACAAGAATTTTGAACTTGTATGGTTCTAGTTAGAGCTATGTTCATTGCCATGACAGTTGCAGATTAATATCAAAGGTGGATTTTTTGTGATATCCCATTTCCTCTAAAGATCAGAGCAAGACTATCATCTCACATACTATTAGCCAACAAACAACAGAGAGAGTGATGACTTTGAAGAACTTGTGGTGGCCCTTCAAGAAATATAGACTGCGGAGACCAAAATGTACACTTGAGCCAAACCTGAACTTAGGAGAACAGAGCCTATTAAAAATGTGAACTGTAACGCCATGTTTTTTTGCTACTCAGCACTAAAGCCTGACTGGATGTGATGTAGGTCAATAGAAGAGTCCATCACAATAGCAGTCCCTATGAATAAAGACTTCTCAAACTTTGTTCCATCCCAGGAGCAGATCATCAGGGCTTAAATTATAGAGGAGATAGGACCTTGTCACCAGCCCAAGAAGTCAAAGTCTGGGAAGCAATCTTTGCTAGTCTCTGAAATGCACAGAACATGCACCCTATGTGTGTCATGGTATTTCTAGGGGAATTGTGCCCCCTGAAGCTGGTGCTCCCAGGCGCAATGTCAGTTCATCCTGCCTTCTACTAGAGCCTGTTTAAATCACACAACCGAGCCCTTACTTTTTAAGATTTGTGTTTACTCTCCAACAAAATCTCCAGGCTGCTAAACAAGCTCCCTTCAAGCCACTGAACCACTTTGTCTTACTCCTCCCTTTCTCTTTAGTTTATGTTTAACTCATTTTTGAAGCATTTTATGCATATGAAAGTTGGTATAAGGACGTAAAGTACACTTCATCACACTAATTTAGACCATAGTTTCACATTTTCGTGTACAGGATCCTCTAAAAATAAGTGGAGAATATATAAATGTAACTGTTTACATAGATCCTGCAGGTGAAACTATGCATAGGGTGACTGACGGGGAGGAAGTGCCATGTGTGGTAGAAAGTATTAATGTCTTGGAAGGACAGGAACTGGTATCAGTGTTTTTGGCAACACTATAGGGATTATGTTCATTAGTTGCCACATTCTGTAGTCCTTTCTATGAGTTCTAGGAGCTATCCAATGCCCAGAAAGGCACATCCCTCAACCCACATACACATATAATCTGGGATGTTTAGCACTGCCTAAAGTTTTTGTGTTCCTGTTTTCTATATTGCTACCCAATAAAATGGTAATTTTACAAAATAGCTCAATACAGGAATGAAACTTTACAAAATGATTATGTTTTTCAGCAAAGCATTTCAGCAGGTGCTTAAAGTTAAGCATGTGTCTGATTGGTTTCTTGAACAGGATATGTTTTTCCAAATCAGAGCCTTTATGGTGACTGATACCAAACTAGGAAAAATTGGTAAAAGTTTCTGTGTGTATCCATGAAAATCAGTGTTGATTTTTTGGACATTTGGCATGACTTTGCTCCCCTGAAATTTTGTTTAATCCGCTAAATTTGATAACCCTGTTATTTTTTAATAAAGTATTATTTTTTTAAATATGTTCATAAATGCCTTCAGGGAAAAATATTTGAGGAAATATATCTTCAAGAATCACTGCAATTTCACAGACACTCAATTAAAATAAACCCAGACATTTTCGTAATTTACACATTAAAACAACAGAGTTATAAATATTTTACCCAGCTCTACTGGATACAGACTCATAAACATCATATTCTGGGTGATTCAAATGGTTTCCCCCAAGTGTGCCCTCAATTTTCATTTGAAGCCAAGGAGGTTTTGCCAGGTGCCAAGACTAAAAGCAAATATGAATAATCTGCTATGCAACAAACAATGAGGGGTCATGTTTTACTTTTAATCCTTGCAGGCATTAATTTTTTGGATGCGGGAATGGAAGCTTATTTAAGAATCATGAATGACTTAAAATCACGTTGTTGCATAGGACACTGTCTTGTGCTCAAGCATGGCATGACATGGGACAAAGAATGGATATATGGATCTGTCCGATTTAGTGCAGGGCAATGATACTCCTCTACTTAATTCTGGTATTTTATAATCAGAATCATGACATCTATCAATACTTCAGTTATTAATTTACAACCACAATTCACTGTTGGTTTTCCTGGCTAGGAAAGCCAATTATAAATATTTCAGTGGGGAAAAAGAAAAAAAGCAAAAAAAAAAAAAAAAAAAAAGCTCAACCAACATGATTTTCACTTGAAGTCTTATCATTTGTAAATTCTGTTCTTGTTGACGGTTAATGGTTATCTAAAACCAATGAAT